CCCCAAAACCCCAAAACCCCAAAACCCCAAAACCCCTTTCTAGTAAAAAATAACTGAAATAGAATCCAGATTCATGTATTAAAATTTTACATATGTTTGAGGATTAATTTCACCAGATCTCCACTGGAATAGCCGGCGAGTTTGAAATCTTGCGGGTAATGGTCGAAAGCAGCCATTATGTTTGATACGTCCTGGTAGAAGGTAATTGGGTTAAAGATGAAAGCAGTGGGAACAGCGTAGATGAGGTACTGGAAGTTGTTGATGAATGGCATCATTTCTTCGAGTCCTTCTTGAATGCTAGGCCATACTTCCTCACACTTTTGAGAGTCCTGGATGAAGTTCATGACTCCATAAACGATTTTGACAATACCTCTTGAGACGTCATCTAAAGTAGTGTAGTTGACTAGTATTTCAATTCCTGAGTAGATTTCAAGTACACTCTTTTCAACTTTAGCTTCACAAGTGTTGAGGTCCATATCGATTGAAAAGGCAGCCGAATAAAACTCAGTAATAAAGAGGCTGCCGTCACTAAAGGGGCTCTTAATCATACCATTAAGGAAGATAATTCTGATAATATCTCCAATATCATATCCAGCAGCTTCATAATCTGGTACTTTAAAATCTTCAGATGCTTTCTTTACATCCTTATAAATGCTTCTTCCATGCCAGACCATCTTCTCTCCAATGTCAATGACCAAAGTAATTGGGTTAGCAAACTCAGCTGCAAGTTTAGAGAGATCTTTAGCAAGCTCAGCAACACCTTTACAATCTTTTAGTTCTTCAGGCATTAAAGTCAAGATATGAGAGATATGCTTGAAAGCATCAACGAGGGCATCTTTATTCCAATGGGCTGCTGCTTTCTCGAAATCTTCAGCAATAACAATAAGGTCTTTGAATATTTCCTCTCCATCCTGAATACATTCAACAACTTCATGTCCAACATCTCTAAATGAGCCATTAAGAAGCCCTCTGAGGAAGTCTTCAGCCTCAGTGACTCCATTAGCGGATGATGAGACTAGTAATGTGGCTAACAAAATTGTTACGAGTAATTTCATGCTTTTATTCTATTATTTCAGTTATTATCTTATCATATGGGGTTTTGGGGTTTTGGGGTTTTGGGGTTTTGGGGTTTTGGGGTTTTGGGG